GAGTAGTATGGTTAGGTGGAGACAGGAGTAGTATGGTTAGGTGGAGAGAGGAGATGTGGGAGGAGACAGGAGCTCAGATGCAGTCTGAGGATTCATAGGAACAGAACTGCCCCTTTGGTCTGAGCAGTGGTAGAGGTAAGAATTATAGTGACTGGCTGTTCTAATTCTCTATCCGTGCACTTTCACCCCTGATAGCTGACTCTGAGTTTTTATTATTAAGAACAATTAGAATTCGTGTTATAATTTTTCTCTAGGGGAAGTTCTAAAATGTAAGGGAACAGCTTCAGTGCCTGTGTCAATGTGCTAAAGATGCTTTTAGAATTTAAAAGAAAAAAAGTCAAGTGAGGATTTGGCCTTAATTGTGTGTTTGTCTGTCTTTTGGTTACTGTGTCCTGTACTGTGTCTGGGGCTCTGTGGATGTTTGGGAAAAGCTGTAGGACCTCAGACATGGGTGCACGGTAGACTTACTTCAGAGGTGGGATTGGTATCACAGATTCTGTACTCACAGACAGGACACTCAAGTCTGACTTGCCAGTTCCTGGCCCGGCAACCTTAAGCAAGTTATCTGACTTCTCAGGCAGCATCAGCACCTTTGCGGGGCAGTTCTGAGAAATGAGCTAACACATCCTTATTACAACATTTGGTAGTATAGCCCGGAGCAAAACGATTGTTACCGTATTAGGGAATGAATCGCCTCTACCGTGTCTCTGAGAAGAATCTTAAATTGTTCTAGCATAACCCAATCGCCGTGCTATTACACACCTTGCCAGCCATTCCCCCTTGATGGCTGTTCCACAGAGCTGGCTGTATCCTCTGGCCCTGGTCTTGCCTTTGTTTAGAAAGTGCTGGACGCATGCCTTCTCGACTTCTTTCCAGAGGGTCTGCAGAAGCCTGCTAGTGTGAGCAGCAGAGTCTCAGGGGCATGTCTGGGTCTGGCCCCCAAGATCCTGAACTTTTCTCATGGTCACATGGATTTAGCAGATGGTGGCCCTTCTCACTATCCTCTTAATACCTCTTCGTCTCCATTTACAGCTAGGCTCATGTTTAACTTCCCACTTCTGTCATTCAATTCGTATAGAATCTGCCCCTCCTGGTGTCCCAAAGTGAAGTACCCGAGCATTCCTGTAACCTTACCCCAGCCCCACACCTGTCTCGAGAGGAGCACTTGTCCAGGCAGCGGGGCCACAGGTGAGATGTGGGAACCACGGCAGAACTCGGAAATTCCGTGGGCAATTAAAGCGGCCATAGTCCAGGAAACACATTTTCATTTTATTTAAAAATTATTTACAATTTATTGAGCTTTCATAAATGCTTTATTTTAAAATCTTTTTTTTTAAAATTTATCTTAACCTGAAGAAAATCTGGGGGTGTGGGAGATAGGGAAAGGGGAGGTGACAGCTCCTTAGAGGTTCTGCAGTAGGGAGGGTATCGCAATAGCAGTGGCCTGGGCGTCGGGGCCTAAGGGATAATGAGAGGGAGCGTCTTTTGTCCAGCAGGCTCCCTTGCAAATTCTTGTTCAAAACTCATCACTTATTGGCCTAGGTCCGAGATCTCCAGCATTTAGTGCCGGCATTATCTGTTCTGATCACGGAGGAGCAGGCAGGGGTGGTGGCCGTGGAGTTAGCTAGAACACATGCATGGCTGAGCTTCAGGCTAGCCAGGCTAAGCGAGTGGCATGTGAAGTCCGTGACACACACAGAAGAGACATCGCTGGCGCCAATCTTCCCTCCTGGGGCTGTGGCCCTCTTGGCAATATCAGTTGTGGTTTGGTAGACAGCGGGCAAGTGTTTTGTTTGGGATGTAGGTTGTACCATATTATGTGGTATGCTAAGGATTTCTGAGGACCCTGTCTTGGTGAGTACCAACCTTCCCCCATTGACAAGAATGCCTGACCACGTATAATTAAACACCATTCTCAAAGTGTCCAATATTCACTCTGCATTGCAGAAACACTGGGCTGAAAGTTCCCCTATTTAAAACTACTAAAAGCCTTTGTGGGTCTGGGAACTTTGAGGCTAGTAGGAAAGCTTCATATCTCTGGAACACACAAACACACAAAGTTCTGACAGTTTCAAGGGCGTCATAGGCCCTCTAAAGTCAAACTACGGACTCCCCTGGGGTAGTGGCCCCAGGTTAACAACCCCTGAGTTAAATAAAGTTCCTGTGGGCGAGCATTTTCCTTCGAGACACAAATAACGTAGAGGAATTATCAACTGTCCATCTGCTTGTGACCAAATGGGGAAGAGGAAAAGGTGGCTTGGGAATGGCGAGGAGACACAGCAGGCAGAACTGCATCTCTGGGTACTACTGACTGGAGGTGTGCAAAGGGTGAGAAATAAACCGGAAACTCAAATTCAAACTCCACTTACGTTTTCCCTCTGGCTGTTTCCCAATACCTACATTCTCAGTAGATACGCGTGGCCATTCTGCCATCTTGTGGTTGTGACTGGAATTGCTTCTGCCTCAACACCCAGCACTAAAACCCTGGGATCAGGTAGGTTTTCGGGATACTTAGCTGACCAGCAAGGGATATAGTAAGTGGGGAGTATGTGAAAAAGAAAAGTGAGCGTTCAACATTCCTGTGTCAAGCACACTGAAGTCCCGTGACAGCACGGGGCATCCTTCCTGGCTGACCTGGGCACTCTTTGGTTTATCATGCTAAAGTCACTGTAACAACTTACAAGTTTTTTTTTTTTTTTCTTTTCATGTAAGTTTTTTTTTTTTCCTGCTTTGATTTTTCACGTAAAACCTGAAGTTCCATGTCTGGCTCACAACTTGGTCTCTGTGCTCCCTGATTTCCCTTTTCTGAAGCTGGCTTATTGAGAGATTAGTTACTGGAAGCCCAAGCTGACGCATCCTGGGGAGATGTGGTGACTCAAGGCTTTGTCGCTTGCCCTTCCCCAGGCTTCAGAGAGATCCAGTCACGGACAGTGAGTCCCACACTCTGAAGTTCTGGGAGAAGAATCCTTGTCCATCCCTGGAGCATGACCTTCACACCTGTTCCTTTAGACTCGAATACACCTCTCTCCCTGCATCACCTCCAGAGTTAATCCTAAGAATGAACTATGGCAGAAAGGGTTATTTTGTTCTGGAAGAAAGAATGGTCAATTCCAGGACATGGGTCTCCTGTGGTCCAGGGACACAAAGAACAAAGAATATCACTGGGAGCCTCAGAGAGGCATTGCCAGCTTGGGGTCATCTCCCTGCCGGTTCTGGGCTATGCTATGGACAAGGCCACTTCTAGCGTCTTCCATCACAGGTTTCTCCTTCTGTGTCAAACTGGAGACAACTGGGAAAACTTGTCAGACTGACCGAGAGGGGTGTGAGGTGGAGGGCAGGGTGTTCTGTCACCGTGGGAGGCCTCGGGGAAGCAGGTGATGGGAGGGTGGGTCTTC